TGAGTGGAAAAATGTACAGAGACATTCTTTATAAAAATCTGCTTTCATCTACCAGGATGATGAAGATGAAACGTGGCTGGACATTTCAGCAAGACAATGAGCCCAAACACAAAGCCAAGGAAACTCTCACTTGGTTTCAGAGAAAGAAAAAAAAGCGCCTTGAATAGCCCAGCCAATCACCTGACCTGAATCCAACAGAAAATCTATGGAAAGAACTAAAGATCAGAGTTAAAAGAAGAGGTCCACGAAACCTTCAAGATTTTTAAGACTGTGTGGAAGAATGGGCCAAAATCACACCTGAGCAATGCATGCCACTAGTACAGGAGGCGACTTGAAGCTGTCATTACCAACAAAGGCTTTTGTACAAAGTATTAGATAAATTTCAATAAGCATGTTCAATACTTTTTCCCTGTGCAATTCCACATTATTATAAATAACTTCATTTCTGGACATTTATGGTTTGATTTCTTTGTATGTATGAATCATTTGGATTGTTACCATCTGGTGAAAATTTCATGTCATTAGCACCTCTAGTAATATATTTACTGAGAAAAATGGTGACGTGTTCAATATTTATTTTACTCGCTGTATGTGGAGTTAATTACTTACAGAGTTCAGCTGATTAAAGTTTGAAACATGTCTGAGCAGACCCGGAAAACTCCACTGCCTGTTATCAACTGTTAGCAATGTCTGGGGTGACCACCGTCTACAGCTTAGATCTCCATGCCGCAGATCGAGAACCTCCCCCCGGTCAAAGCGAGTCAGGCAGACCGCTTGGGCTCAGCGTCCAGGGATAGTAGCCAAACCTACTAAGTCTGAATGCATATTATCAGGCATACAAATGATTGATAAGTGCCTTCCAACCTACTAAGAGGTAAAGGAAGGACAGTCTGTAGACAGTTTGGAACTGATAACATCTAATAATGGCCTTTTAATAGACTGACAACATTCCATTTGAAGCAGGTGATTCCTGAATGCAACAGCCTGTCCAGCCTGTGTTGAGCTGTCAATCATGATTCCGCACCAGTCATCCGAGGCTCCGCCCCGCCCCCCACGCCAAATCAAGGCCATAAGTTTGAAACTGAAAAAAATAAGTTTGAAACTGAACAAAATAATTTGAAACAGAAAAAAAATAGTTGAAACTGAAAAGACAAGATGTTTGAAACTTTTCCAGTTTCTCAAATTTTTTTTCAGTTTCAGTTTTAAATCTCTTTTTTCAGTTTCAAAGTTTTTTTAACAAAACTTATGGCCCCAATTTAGCTCCATATAAGCGCTGTGTGTGTGTGTGTGTAGTCCTCACAAAGATAGCAAGACATGTTCGCATGTGTGGTGTGACGCACAATGAAAACTGTCCCAACTATTTTTTTTTTCACATTGCACTGATGCAGAAATTTGAAAGGTACTTTTTTATTTCCAGATGTGGCCACAGCATGGTTACCTTATCAATGTAATTACTCATATATTAAAGCAAGGATCACCAACACAGACCCCGCTTGCGACCGGGTGCCTGCGAGTCCCTCTGATCAGCAGTGCAGCTACAGTAACCAAAGTACCAGAGTCGTTTGTGAACTCAGAACACAGTAAATCCAGGCGGAAGCAGCTGCCGTTAGTCCACATGCACAGGACTCTCAAAACAGAGCTGAGTGCTCTTCTCTCATCTTCTCTCTCTGTTTTTTGATAGTTACTGAAGTTTTTTTGATAGGTTTTGATAATTAAAAAGTGTTGTCTTTTATACAACAGTTAGAGTACAAAGACAATTATTAGAAACAGAGCATGATTTGAAAATCTTACTGATAATATTTTCTTTAAAACATGTTAGAGAAGTACTAAGAAACAGGTTTATTTTGAATAAACCTTACAAAAATGTTCATTCCTACAAAACTATTAGATACATTTTAAAAACACACCAAAGTAATTCAGATTAGCATAAAATAAATAATGTTTTTTAAAGTAAATGTCTGTTTCCTGCTATAAAGAAAAGTCCTCCATCCATTCTATCCTTGTTCCTTATCAGGATCAGGGTTGGGGCTGGAGCCTTTCCCAGCTGCCTTTAGGTGAAGGCAGGGGACACCTAGACAGAGCTCCAGTCCATCAGACAAACAGACAAACATCCACACTCCCAGTCACACCTGAAGTCACACAGAAGAGCTCCAAAAGAGATTCAAACTGAGGACTCTGCTCTATATCTGCTTTCTTTACGTATGAAAAAAAGTATTTCTTAATTTTCATGACAGAATATTATGAAGAAACTGAAGTCAAGAGCAGTGTATTACAAATACTCTAGGAAGCATAAAAACAGCAACGATCAGCTATTTCATTATTCTCTTGAAAAAGAGCATGCTCGAAGTTTGCAGCTCTTATTTTCCCCCGTTGTCGAGGCAGGGGACTAAGAAATGTTTCCCTTCCATCCATCCGTCCGTCCGTCCATTACAAGTTCAGAAAGCTGTAACTTTCACATAGAAAGGCTAAAATACAACAAACTTGATATGAGTCATCTGTGTTGCATGCCTGACCATACCATGTGGTCATATGACATCATCAAAGCCCTGCCCTCTGAAAACAGGAAGTGACCTTTTTTTGGCTTGGAAAGCTCCATCTCTGACCCTTTTGACCTAATCAGAAACTACTTGTATCAGAACACAGATAAGAACTTGATCTCACTTGCTTTCTGGCACAAAAACCATTTAGTTAAAAGGCATGGCCGTGGCAGTGTGGCGAAGTCAGACATCACCCCCGTTGGCATAAGTTTGGCTCTAAAATCCACAAACTTCAGCCAATCTGCACCCAGATCGCAACAGTCAATCCTAATACACTCCACTACAGAAATGCAGTCAAATTTTGGAAGGGGGCATGGCCAAATTACACATCACGACGTGGATATGTTTGGCTCTAAATTCAACATACAGTATTTGAGTCAATCTGCACCCAAGTCACTATGGTTGATCCTACTATGGGAATGCAGTCCAATTTTGGGGGTGTGTGGCCTAATTTGACATCACACAGTAAACTCTAAATTCCAAATATTTCAGCCAATCTGCATGCAATTCGCTATGGTTGATGATCCTAATCTAATCCACCCCGTCACAGAAATAAAGTCCAATTTTTGGGGTGTGAGGTAGTTACAAATATTAGCCAAAGTAAACAGAGTCGTTTGTGAACTCAGAACATCGTAAATCCAGGCAGAAGTCATGCTACGACCTGGAATTATGATATTTAATAGACGTGTAACCTCAGGATCTAAAAATAACTCTCTTATGGTGCGTTCACACCGAACGCGATTTCAGTGTCAAAATCGCAGCCAACGCTGAAGTTTGAAGCTTGTGCACTTTGAGGTCAGACGCAGGACAGCTGCGCTGCACGGCGACAGCCGCCCCGCCCCTCCCTCCTCTGTGGGGCTGTTTAATGTCGGACGAGGAAGTGGCTTTGCTTTATTTACAGACAGCCAGAACGTGTCACGTTCATCAGATAATTAATTCATAATTAATTCACCAGATAGTTCAGAGAAGAGGCTCACAGCTCGCTTTCAGGACTATTTTTTCAGTCTGATGAGTCGCTGCCACGCATTGGTGCGGATCAGGACACGACTGCAGCACTCATTTCAGCTAAAGAGCAGGAGCTCTGTCTGTTTCAGGTTAGTGGACATCATTCAGTAAACTGTCCCGTCGGGAAATATGTCACTACGTCACACAGTGGAGTCTCTCTGATTGGTTGACGCTGCGCGTCGAGCTGCAAAAGTTCAGATTTCCCAACTTCAGCGATTTGGACGATTTGGACGATCTGAGCGTCGAACGCTCAGATCGTCCAAATCGTCCAAATCGCGCTGCTCTAATCGCGCTTGAGGCGCCGCAGAACTTCCCGACGCTGCTTGAAGCGCGTCCACCATAGACTTTGTATGTAAACCTGCTGCTCCTGACGCTGAAATCGCGTTCGGTGTGAACGCACCATTAGAGTCATGGTCCAATCTCTACTGGAAGTCATCTGTTTTGCATAAAATCTGCTAATTTGTCTCTTTTCAGGCACTAAGCTAACTCCCCCATAAGGTCCCTCTGAGACCTGAGATCATTTTAGCCCCTCCGTCCAACCATCTGTTCACCTCATGAGATTATTTAAATAATTAAGGCCCGTGATGATTCCAACATAACTGCTAACAGTTGGTCACTACTGATTGGTGACAAGGTACATCAGTAAAAGTTGGTGTTGAGTTCTATCTTGTTTCATTTATTTTTTGTTTTATTTTTTGAGTAATAAAATATATATTCAGGCTATTTTTTAGGGCTTCATCTTTCGCACCATCAAAATGTATATCACACCTGGAGGTTAAACTGCTTGGCTGTTCCTCAGGATCTATCCACTGAGAGTGAATATTCTGCAAGAAACGTAATAGAATCAAAAAGCATTAATAGGTTGGTAAAACATTATTACTGGTTCATCCAGTCATTTTGAAAATATGAATCTGGTCACCTGTGCATAAAAATCTGCAGAAGGTGAAGATCTGGACCTCTCATGGACACAGATGGCCTTCTCATCTTCACTTGCATCAAGGATGTTCTCCGCTGAGTGATATCTTCCTTGTGTTTTGGCGTCTGATGGCTTCTTCTGCTTGCTCCATGTGGCCTGGTACTCAGCAAAGGTCCCCAACCTCTGTTGCTCCAGTAAGACCTGTTTATGCCAAGGACTTAGATGGTTGGGGTCTGTGGTTTGGTGAGTTTCCTCAGGATCACTGGAGGGAGATATCTCTTTTGGTTTGTTTGATTCATCAAGATTTGTGCTCAGGTTTGGACCAGGAGCTAACTGCATCACAGGCCTGGAAAGTGTTGTTTTGGTCTCAGAGAATTTCCTTTCTGAATCCAAGATGGTTTGGGATTTTTCTTCCACTCCTACTTTGTCAATTTTATCAGGCTCTGAGAAGGAGTGTGTCCTTTTGGCTGGGTGGAACCGTTTATGTCCTTTAATGTGTTCATTGGATGCTTTGAGAATTGATCCCTCTGGACCCAGGGGCTCAAGGTCTCGTCTTTGGAAGGAGGTGGCCTGGAGGACCCTTGCTTGTGCCTCCTTTAAATTATCCTTGTAGGTATTTGAGGAAGCCTCTGCGAATCTCCACTCATTTACATCCTTGTCCTCTGCCTCATGAGTTAGGGTTGCAGCACTGCGACTCTTCTGCAGCTGTGCTCTCTTCTGCTGGATCTCTTTACGAAGGGTGGTGGCATAACGGTCACTGCGACGATTTAATTTTCCACTGCTAGTGGTCATGGTATCACCAACCTCCTCGATGGACATAACTGACGTTGTTAAAGCTGCCGATTGCTTCTCGACTAGACTCCTGCTCTCTTGGGTCAAGGAGTGCAAAAGTGGAGTTTTTAGGGGAGATATTCTGTGGTCTTCTTGAGGTATCCAAGGGTCTTGGAGTCTTGAAAAACTAAGCTTATGATCATTATTCTGATTTGTTGGATATAACCTTTTCATATCAAAGTATCCCTTTAGTGAATCTTCTTGGCTGTGGCTTTGAATAGAATCTTCATAGGTCTGGTTTTCATAGTGAAGACCATTCCCTGCATGTGAACTGGCATTGTGCTCTTTATTTTCACTGTGGGGTATCTGGGACTGGAGTCCAGGGTACTTCGCTTTAAAGTTTGTCTTTAGTAAACTTGAGAAACCTACTTCACTGCTGTTCACCCAAAAGGGTTTCTCTGTCTCCCCCCTCCAACCATGTGATTTGCTCTGCCTGGCCATATGCTCAATGAACAGGACTGGATGTTTACCTGCCAGACCATAATATCTGCTGTGTCCCTCACTCTCTGGACTTGTGTTTGGAGCACAGGCTGCCATAAATGCTGTGGAGTGGCGAACCTGTTTGTGACTAAAAGCATTGGTGGGCAGATCTTGAAGGCTGCGATAGTAGCTTCCAACACTTTGTGTCTTTGTGGGAGGAGCAGTCCTGGTCTGCAGGTGGAAAGGACTTTCATCGCTGCATTGCCTCAGGTGAGCAGGTAGTTGGGTGTAATGAGACTGGCTAATGTCACTGCTGGACAAGGAGAAGAGTTTGTTGGGGTGCAGTTGGTTGTGGTTCTGAAATCTAAGGCAGTTTTGTTTGTTTTCTGTCAGTTTTTCAAAACATCGGCCTTGATTCTTTGTTGGAGCTGACGGCCCTTCAGAATAAGGGAACACCTTTGTGGCGGCAAAGCTATCACTGCGGAGGGGAGGGGGAGGGGGAGGAGGTGACTGGGACCTTTTCTTCTCTGGTACCTGCCTCACTGGGCCAACACTGGGTCTCCCTGCATTGGAAACCTGAGATGCAGGCTGCTCCTCGAACTGTGACTCCTCCCAGCCTCCATTCCCAAGAGCTGGCTGCAGGTACCTGTGCCTCTCACTCTGCTGAAATTCTTCACTCTGAAGGCCCTTAAAGAAAATGTTTTCAGCACTTGTACCCTTCCTAACAGACATGCTGGAGCTGTGAACAGTAGGGCTGGAGCTGCTGGAGAAGCAGCTGAACCCTGCATTTCTCTTGCCTCCTGAGCCATGCAGCTGGTCAGCACTGCCAACATATTTATGTGGGGCAAGCTGACCTGGAGAGAAAGGATTGGAGAAATGTTCAAACCTCTCCATATTGTTCACTGAGCTTCGATCTGTTGACTGGGTCCTCTGGTCTCCTTGAGGAGATGACTCTTTTGGCCTATTAACAAAATATTATTTTGGTAGCCGCATGATTTTTATGTAGACAAAAAGACAGCTTAGCCTAAAAGGCTCACCTTGCGTCATGTTTTGCTGGAGTGGCTTCACACCCGGCTTCTTCTGTCAGCTTGGAAGCATGCCAGGAATGAGGCCGCAAGCCTGGATCATTTTTCCTGAGAAGCAGAGAAACAACATTTACACAACTGGGACGCGTTTGACATCAAAGCTTTTTCAGAATATTCACAAAATGGTATAAGCCAACTGAGTTCAACAGTTCTCCTTTAAAGAGCCTCATTTATTGGATGATGAAAAGTTACATCAAATATCAAAGATAAACTCAAATTTATCCATCATCTTTACAAGTTCAATATTTTAGAATTTGTTTTGGGCCACATAATACTTTTAGAATTGGCTGATAAAATACTTACGACAAACAACCCATTTAAGTAAAAATTTTAACTCAACAATCATTAAAAATGCAAGAAATGATGTTTTAGAGACACTAGAAGGAACAATGAACCCTTTAAAACAGAAATCCTTTCAAACTTTACAAAAAAAAAAAAGGAAAGGAAGAATACTGGATAAAATTTGAGAGTTTTAAAACAAAACCACTAATGTTTTCCCACAAAAGGATCAACTTAATTGACAACACTAGTAAATCTAAAAGGCCTGATGAATATTTGCTTATCACCAAAAGGAAAACTCTGGATTATATCCTAGCAATAAGATTTTAAGTGATGTTAAACTGCATGATGAACAACCTTGTTTTTTTTCTTTGGAACTCATGACTTAAATGATTGTAATGAAAACCTTCTAAAAGTATTAAAATAAAATAGTATTTTATACCTTTTCTCTTTTGAATATACAATTCAAAAACAGATGGTTTAATAAATTTCTAAACATCAATAGATTTTGCAGCAGAACGAGAAAAAAAACTAAATTTTAGTTCTAGTCAGGGATGCAACGAAACCTTATAAATGGTTTAGAAGATATTCTGACCAGAAGATGTAGTTAAATATCATGCCTGAATAATAATACTGCAATGGTATATTAAAAATCTTAAGATCATTTGTCTCAAACCAAGTGTAAACGTACCCCCTGAAGTGGTTTTTCCTGGACAGCATGTTGAAAAGGAAAAGAATGACACATTTTAACAGATTGTACAATATGTGTTCATTTAGCATTTTTTAAATATAAAGAATAATGCGATGAAAAACACAAACATAAAGAAGCTGAGAAGTAACTGCAGCTGAAAAAAGGAGTTCTGTGAGACTAAAAAAATCACTTTATAAATAGTTTGTCTCAAAAGAAATTCAGATAAGATTAACTGAAAATGCATCACTAATATGCAAATTACAGAACCATGTAATTTTAACAACTAACACAGCACACCAACATACTATATGGAAACACAAAGCACAACTTGTCCAGCAATCACGTGATGACACCAGAGTTACCAGTTAACAGCAGGCTAACAAAGTGATACCTCATAGAGCTTCGTAAAATCTTGGTGAGGAAGCTCCTTGCTATGTGAACCTCATTTTCTGATGGTATTGTTTGTGGTGAAACAACGTCAACCATTTTAGCCCTGATATGCAGCAAGTGAAGAAGGAAGAAAAGAAAAAAGGAGCAAGAGATGTTGGCATCAACCGATGACATAAGATGAGAAGATCGTAGAATCACACAGTCAGTTCAGTTTTATGCAGTGTAAATCAGTAAAATAAAACCTACAAATCTGAAAAACAAAGCAGAATTTGATCAGTAATGAAATGCAGTTTTAAGCAATGTTGTCTGTAATTTTCTACTCCTTGAGCTTCCAAAAACAAGTTAATTGGACTTTGTTTCTGTAAAGACATTTTGCTTATCAACTAAGATTTTTTTTTTAATTCTAAAGAAAAGAGTGGACTTACAAGCTTTTAAAGCTTAAGCTGATGCCTCTCAGCAAGAAGGTCGCTGGACTGAATACCAGCCTGGGGATCTTTCTGGGAAGAGTTTGCAATGTTTTGTCCATTCATGGGTGAGCTTTCTCTGGCTTCCTCTCACAGACCAAAAACATGACTGTCGGGTTAATTAATAGCTCTAAATTGTCCGTGACTGAGTGAGTGAATGGTTGGTTGTCTTGTCTGTCTCTATGTGGCCTTGTGATGGACTTGCGACCTGTGTACCCCACCCCTCGCACAGAGACTGCTGGATATGGGCACCCGTGGCACCAGTGCCCCCCCCCCCCCCCCCACACACACACACACACACATACACACATACACCCCTGACCGTGAAAGGAAGATCTTGCACTCTCAGTATCAAACAGAAACAGAAAGAAATGCAGAGTTGATGAGATTTATTTCAAACAAGAGATTTATGCAAACAAATCTAAAGTATGAAATCTTACTTTAATTTGGACCAAATCATAAGTATTTATTTTATAATACGTAGTATTCAGTGCTAAAGGCTACAGTTCTACTTTTCTGTACTGTGTCTCCTTTGTATAATTAAGGTATTTCAAAAAATAAAAGCAGGAGGCCATGTCACATCCCTGATGGACCTTAGCCAACAGTTTTTTTTAAAGAAAATTTAGATGCATGTTTGTTGGATAACAGGAGTAAGAAGAAAAAACCTACAACAATCATAATCTCCTTACAACATTTAACTTTAAATCATAAAAAAGTTTAAAAGTATTTTTTTAATGTTTCAAGCTTTTGATACAAACTGTCAAAGTTTAGGTGGAACAAAGGAGTGAAATAACTCCATCAGATGAAAGTGTACCTGCCCCTGTTTCAACTTTAACCTTGTCAGGCAACAGAAAGACGCTGCATTCTTTCAGAGGAATGTGAGGAGGTATTTTCCTTTGTTGGAACTTTGCTTGACAGAAGACATTCAACCAGGCATTCTCCCAGGAGTCTGAGAGCATAAAAACAGTGGGACGCCTTCTATCCGTCAAAATATAGATGTAGTGGATTTACTGTACTTTCAAAAATTATGTCATCTGGTTACTCTCAACTGAAGTGAGTAAAAGAAACATGTTTACTTAAATGTAAAGTAAATGTGTTACCTTTATTCATTTCAGCTGAGTGGAAGTAAATTTACTGCATCGGCATTTTTTCAGAGTGTTCTGGTTTCTCTTGTGTGCAGAATCCCTCAAGGAAAAATTGGACATTTTTGCATTTTTTTCCGCTCAGATTTCCGCAGGTCTTCTATTGTTAAGCAAAATCTGATAAGAAAATTATTTTATAATAATCTTACAGAAGTCCAGGGCTGAAATTCAAAAACTTGTACTGTATTAAGCATGACTCGCAAAAAGATATGTAAAACCACTCTGAACAATCATTACAAGGTTACAATTATTTTTGCATTTTCCAAGAGGGAAAATTCACTCCCTCATCTGTAGTCTGCTTTACTCTGCTGGGAAACTCTATACACACACACACACACACACACACACACACACACACACACACACACACACACACACACACACACACACACACACACACGAGCTTCCTTCTGCTGGGAGAGAGGCAAAAGATTAAACTCTAAACTCTTATATAGTGGGGATAAAAAGTATTTAGTCAGCCACCAATTGTGCAAGTTCTCCCACTCAAAAAGATGAGAGGCCTGTAATTGACATCATATTTAGACCTCAACTATGAGAAACAAAATGAGAAAACATATCTAGAAAGGCCCTGTGATGGACTTGTGACCTGTCCAGGGTGTACCCCGCCCCTCGCACTGACTGCTAGATATGGACACCAGTGACCCCTGTGACCCTGAAGGGAAGAAACGGGTATAGATGGATGGATGGATGGATGGATGGATGGATGGATGGATGGATGGATGGATGGATGGATGGATGGAAAATCACATTGTTGGATTTTTTAAGAATTTATTTGCAAATTATGGTGGAAAATAAGTATTTGATCAATAACAAACAAGCAAGATTTCTGTTTCTCAGAGATCTGTAACTTTTTCTTTGAGAGGCTCCTCTGTCCTCCACACATTACCTGTAGTAATGGCACCTGTTTGAACTTATCAGTATAAAAGACACCTGTTCACAACCTCAAACAGTCACACTCTACTGTGGTGAAGACCAAAGAGCTGTGTAAGACACCAGAAACAAAATTGTAGACCTGCACCAGGCTGGGAAAACTGAATCTGAAATAGGCAAGCAGCTTGGTGTGAAGAAATCAACTGTGGGAGCGATAATCAGAAAATGGAAGACATACAAGACCACWACTAAYCTMCCTCGATCTGGGGCTCCACGCAAGATCTCAGCCCGTGGGGTCAAAATGATCACAAGAACGGTGAGSAAAAATCCCAGAACCACATGGGGGACCTGGTGAATGGCCTGCAGAAGGCTGGGACTAACGTGAAAAAGGCCACTGTCAGTAACACACTACACCACCAGGAACTCAGATCCTGCTTAAGCAAGTACGTATCCAGGCCCATCTGAAGTTTGCAAGAGAGCATTTAGAATTTCCAGAAGAGTACTGGGAGAATGTCATACGGTCAGATGAAACCAAAGTAGAACTGTTTGGTAGAAACAATTTGTCATGTTTGGAGGAGAGTGAATGCTGAGTTGCATCTAAAGAACACCAAACCTACTGTGAAGCATGGGGGTGGACACATCATGCTTTGGCACTGTTTCTCTGCAAAGAGACCAGGACAACTGATCCATGTACATGAAAGAATGAATGGAGAAGAATGAATATATTGTGAGATTTAGAGTGCAAACCTTCCATCAGCAAGCGCATTGAAGATTAAACGTGGCTGGGTCTTTCAGCATGACAATGATTCCAAGCACATCAGGGTAATGAATGAGTGGCTTGGTAAGAAGCATTTCAAGGTCCTGGAGTGGCCTAGCCAGTCTCCAGATCTCAACCCCATAGAAAATCTTTGGAGGGAGATGAAAGTTTGTGTCGCCCAGCGACAGCCCCAAAACATCACTGCTCTAGAGCAGTGGTTCCCAAACTTTTTATCTTCTGACCCAGAAAATATCCATGGAAAAAACTTGTGACCCCAAATATTACTGGTCTGAGTACACATACTTTGTTAATAACCCTAAAAATGCAGGCTTTATGACAATCTAAACAGCTTGTACACAAATATAAATACTTATTTTTACTTATTTTGTGTTTTTGTAATAATTAAAGGAAAAAATTACATCAGCAATTATTTTATTACCCTTTAAATTGATTTCTGGAGATTATTCAAGGTGCTTCATGACCCATAATTGGGTCCCAAGCCCAACTTTGGGAACCAAAGTGCAGTGGTTCCCAAACTTTTCAGTTTTTGACCCACAAAATAACAGTAGCAGAGACCTGTGCCCCCAACTATTTTTGGATGATAAACATTTGTATCAGGTCAACTAAACTTGGGTATAGTAACAATATTTTTTATATTGCATTTATCCATTTAAAATACACTAACATCACTTATTTGTAACAACTAAGGCAAAAATATAATTAATTCAGAAAATCTTTTCAGGACCCCACCTTGATGTTTCGGGACCCCACTTTGGGTCCCGACCCCAACTTTGGGAAACACTGCTCTAGAGGAAATCTGCATGGAGGAATGGGCCAACATACCAGCAACAGTGTGTGAGAACCTTGTGAAGACTTACAGAAAATGTTTGTTCTCTGTCATTGCCAATATAGGATATATAACAAAGTACTGACTACTGATATTAAGTTTTGTTATTGAACAAATACTTTTTTCCACCATTTTTTGCAAATAAATTCTCAAAAAAATCAATGTGATTTTCTAGATATGTTTTGTCATTTTGTCTCTTATCGTTGAGGTCTAACTATGATGTCGACTACAGGCCTCTCTCATCTTTTTAAGAGGGAGAATTTGAACAAGTGTGGCTGACTAAATACTTTTTTCCACACTGTAAATTAAAAACAATTTACTTTGGAAAAAAACACTCTGATAATAACAAAAACAAATGAATATAATGTATAGCTTTCCTAACATCCATCACACATACTCTTAAAAACATTTAAACCAATAAAATGCATCTGTCATGACATGCACTTCAGCATAAAATCAAAAGCTGTTCCTTAAAACCAGTGTCCCCTGCTTTATTCAATGTGACAGATGAATGTGAGAGCTGCATTATTTCCAAACAAGCTGCTGCACAATGAAAATGCAAATGTGCTTTTTCTAAAGCTCAGAGGTTCTATTGTCAATGGATTTATTATTTATCAACCTTTAAACAGGCAAACCCCACTGAGATCACAGATCTCTTATCAAGGGAGGCAGAGTGTCTTCAGAAAACCCATGCAAACACAAAAGCACAGAATATATAATCTTTCATACATTAAGACCCTGGGTCCAACCAGGTGATTGAACACAGGATCTTCTTGCTGTGAGATGACAATGTTAATCATCAAGTCATTGTGCTGCCCAAATAGGAAAGATTGGATCTGTTACAAACACCCTACATCCTGCTTTCAAGAAAAATGAGCTGGACTATTTCCATTCAAGACAGTAATATAAAACGAAAACACATCTGGCCCAGCTGGCTACCTGGATGTACATCAGAGAGGTGAAAATGCATCATAGATTGAAAAAAAAATTAAAGTATTCAGTCATACTGGAACACTGGAATACTGAGACAGCAACATTCTACTGAGGCTGGCTCTACTTATGAAAAAAAACCAATGTCTCCAAGAAACGTATTTCCGTCTTGTGATCTACTTTTTCTTTTTACAAGTTAACTTTCTCAGACAAATTGGACAGCTCCGAAAATTAAATACATGTACACTTTTTAAAGAGATGTCACCTCTGTAGGGTTAGGTAACCCTAACCCAAACCCACTATATTTTAGCCATTGATGATTTGAAGATGTCACAATAATTTGATATTTACCAAGTTTTTAAACATAGGTCATTGTTACATGAATGTAATAAATACCTAAAGCATGTCGTTTATGATCTAATTTTCCCTTTGTTTACAGTTTTTGAAACTGCATGTTTGATAATTTGTTATCTTGTCTGATGGTTGTTATTCATTAAATCATAATTTATT